GGGTGGTCTCTCATCATTTCTTTTGAAAATCAAGAGGATATGTTTAGGAGCAAGAGTTAGCAGATGTATACCCATCTATATGTCTTCCTAATGTATTTAATTTATAGGAATCGATATGAATTGAACGGCTATCAGAGAATACCCTTGGACGGTTATTTCTCCTTTCTGGTTAAGGTGGAATAATGAATTACTTTATGAAAACAAGCGCTTCTACTCGCCCCCTAAAAGATCAGTATCGAATCCTCAAAAGGCTCCAGTTGATTAAGGTTTAGTCACACCTTGACCGGATTTTTAACATGAAGTTGTTTGCCGTTGCCGTGCTTGGGTCTTTAACATATTGCTGACTGATTTATAAAATGTCTTTTAAGACAGAGGAATTATCTCTCCCCCCCCCACTCCCTCTTTCGAAGGAGTGAAAATAAGCCACATAAAAACGTACGTTCTGCACCCCCGATCTCTTTCTCAAATAAATATCAACTCTATTCTTTATCTACCTATAGACACACCTCTGTGACTCCATTTCATCCGACTTTTTGCGAATCGCTGCGGACAAAATATTGTTTTGTTGTTTAATTTATTATCCTGTTTTGCAAAACCCTTGAGGCTCATGTCACAATTAGAACGCCATTAACATTAATATGTATGTTGATAATTCCTTTATCAATGGGGCAATAATTATGCATATTATAGTTCTGATCGTCATAATATGTTGTGATTCACATGCTCTGTTTCGTATATTATTTTTCATTCTATCTTTTTAACATGTAACCATTAAACATAATATGTCCTGTAAAAAAAAAAACAAGTGCAACGTTTTGTTATTTTTCAAAAGTAGAAGAGTTTGAATTTTAATGTTTCAGATCTGTACCGCCGAATGATGTAGCTCCCTAAAAATGGAAATGGATGATAGCCAGAACTAGTGCACTTTAACGCTTAAGAATGGCGTGAGAAAAATAAAACTGCATTGTTTTGATAGATTTGTTTTAATGCATACTGGCATTCCTTTTAATTTTAAAAAGCATTCTCCTCTCTACATAATCTTGATGACAGATCGAGGTCCTTGTCCGATTATGTGAAACAGAATAACTGTTTAAAAAGTGAATAAGTTCACAACAGTCTCTACTTTTAGAAGGGTCGTTGGCAATTGCTCTATGCTTCTTAAAATTCGAATGTGTTCCCTTTTACATACTCGTCGACACAATTTAGATCATTCAGGAGACATTCTTCCTGTCAGGAACGATCCAAACTGAGAGAGATACAACGACCTAGTAGAAAGACCGAGAATCTCAAACTAACTTCTCCCCAAACGGGGAACGAACTTAGGGGTTCCGCATGCAACGGCGAGGAGGCTGACCCCTACACCACAGACGCCGCTGCCGCCTGCTGCACGGACATAATGGGTCTGGTGATATTGCCAAACTTTACTTTACTTTACTTTAACTTTTTCCTTCCTCTTGTATCCTTAGGACGTCGAGGGGAGGTGCTGATCTCGGTCCTGTGGTAGGTGTTTAGCGTCTGGGATGGACATCTTATGTTGTTCCATGACCTTTTTAACCCCATCCAGCCAGGTCTTTCTTGGTCTGCCTCTTGCCTTGAAGCCAGATACTCGGGTGTTGTAAGCTCTAGCCGCCAAAAGTGTCGATAAAACACTCGCACTCACAGGATAACAAGGCTCTAACTCCATTCTTGTGAGAACTGAGTTACACACAACAAATTACTGACCCAGCTGCCCTGCATACTGTGTCAAAGAATCGAGACAGTCTGACCTGTATTTTTTTTAAATTGACGCTCAACAAATGAAGTAGGGAAACATTTTAGCCACAAGAGTGTGAATATTTCAATCCCATTTTCTCACACTCATACGTCATGGGGTTAGAACCGTGTCATACTAAGGGCGAGAGCTCGGTCGGTATTGTCCTGTGAACTACAGTGTGATTCTTATCATCAAGGCGGCGCTCACGGGCTTTTATTTGTTTGGAGAATTCTCGCGACTGGCCACTCACCTTGCTCGCCCTTATTGAAAATGGATGATCAGTTCGGAGCTCCAACTTCAGTCAATACCTTACAATGTTTTAGTGAGAATGAAGCCATTGCAGGGGCGAAGGCTGACTTGTTTGACAGGGTAATCAAAGTGAAACGGGACCAGATATGGCCTGTAGATATGACACAAGAATCTTACT